GTCCTCCACAACTAGACTGAAGAACAAGACGACAGCAACTTGTCTGTTCCCCTTCCCCCAATTCCCCAATAAAAAATCTTAAAAAAAAATAAAAATGAAAATAAAGCAAGTCGAACCACTTGTAGAATCCAGGTACAAAATATAGATAACTATTTAAGAAGCATTCTGGAGGCTGGCCGAGTGGCTCAGTTGGTTAAGAGCTCACTCAAGAGTGTGAGCTCTGAGCAACAGGGTCACCGGTTCAATTCACGGCCCAAGCTGAGCTACTGCTGAGCTGCCAACAGGTGGCAGGATGGTTCAGCTGAAAAAAAAACAAAACACAAACAAGAAGCATTGTTTTGATATAATGACCTTAGAGCTCTGTTTTCCATGGGTTTGAACTCTGAGGCTCATTGTTTAGGAAACAAGATGTACAATAATTTATGCACTTAGGGATGAGTTGTCTGTACTTCCTCAGACATCTCCGAAGACTTCCTTATTTCAACTACATCTGGTGATATTTATGACTCCTATTTATGGCTACTACAAAGACACATCAGGGTTTCAAAAACAACCACCTTATTTTCCTTAAAGAGAAATTGGAAAAACTAATTACAATTCAGAATGTTCCTGTCTCACAGTAATGCAGAGAATGATGCCCTGAACACCTACTTCAGTGACTTACATCAATATTCTAAGTCAACCAAACAGCATCTCCATTTAGATTTTCATCATACATTGTGTATTACAGTGCCCTCGGTCTTCCAGGGAAAAGTATTTCTGAGTGAATCCCACCCAACATACAAGGGCTTTCAGATGCTTGAGACAGCAACAAACAACTCATGATTCACACACACACTAGGAGTTAAAAAAACATAGCATCAAGTGACTTCACAGTGGGACCACATTAACAACATTTCAAAAAGCCTCAAGTACTATCAATATAGAAAGACTGATTGTAAATAACTGTGCCTTCCCAACATCCATCCCCATGACACTTTCAAGCATATTCACAAATTTTTTTTAACATTTGCTTATTCACTATATGTATTCTGATTTAAAATAATATCTGAAAACTGTTCTTTACTGACTACTTTGTAATGTCAATTATCTAATATTTCAGATTTTATGATTTATTAAACATTTCCTCATATTATTTTACATCTTTAAAGTCACTTTGGAGCATGAATTATGTGGACTTTCTGAAGTTCATATTTTGAACACAGGGTTTTCATCGTTGATTTTGAATGCTCATTTCTCCGCAATAAGCATTCTCTGATATTGAATGAGGCTGTAGGTCCAGCTACAGGGTTTCTTGGATTCTTCAGTTTTAAGGTTTCTCTCCATTATCAAGTTTCATGTGTTCAGTAAACTCTAAATGGTGACTAATAGCTATGCTACATTTTTCACATTTGTACGGCTTCTCTCCGGTATGCATTCTCTCATGCTGTGTAAGTATAGAGCGCAGGTGAAAGGCTTTACCACATTCTCGACATTTTTAAGGCTACTTACTATCCAGTATGGATTAACTCATGTCTAATAAGATGTGAACGTCGAATAAACTCTTTTCCACATTCTCTACATTTGAAAGACTTCTCTCTATCATGAATTCTCCTATGTTCATTGAGACTTGAATGCTGAGTAAAGGTTTTGCCACACTGTTCACATTTGTAAGGCTTCTCTCCAGTGTGAATTCTCATATGTACAGCAAGACTTGATCGCCGAGCAAAGGCTTTACCACATTCTCTACATTTGTAAGGCTTCTCTCCAGTGTGGATGAACTCATGTCTAGTAAGATCTGAACGCGTTTTAAAGGCTTTACCGCAGCCTCTACATTTGCAAGGCTTCTCTCCAGTATGGATTAACTCGTGTGTAGTAAGAT